TAAAGAAGCATCAGGTGGCGCTCGATAGCATTATTGAACTACAGGTTTGTCAGCAATATATTTAAAGCATACGTACTGCACATCATTTTTAAATAAATAAGTAATTTTTTCACAGAAGAGAGGAAGGCAAAAGTCTTACTCGACAAATTATGTTCGCAAAGTTTCAATTGCACAGCTAAATCGTGCACGTTATTTATGTTTCGCGTTGCAAGTAAAAACTGCTAAACTTTGGTTTAGTAGTCGATTTCGATTTAATATTTCTTATATCATTAATTAGAAAACCCAACGCTTATATGCTTATATTCGTTAGCGTGTGTATTTTATCTAAGTGATTATGGTTAATTATTGTGTTTTTAAGTGTAAATGTAATTCAAGAACTAAATCGTTGCATTTTCATGTTTTTCCAAAGGATCCAATTTGGTACGTATACGAGTATTTGTTTGTGCAGAATTAACTAATATATTATTATATATTATTATTATTATTATTATAATAACTTTACTTTATTTAATTTACATTTAAGTTTAGACATTTTTAAGAAATCTAACAAAAAATAATATTTCTACAAACATAACCTTAAAATTAAACATTTTTTTATTTGAGTCCTGAAGACTACATTTTAAATTAGTAACTACTTCTTCGATATTATGGCAACATAATACATAATATAATACCTGTTTTTTGTTTTTTACCGTTGAGTGGAGACTTTCTCAATCAAAGCTTTTAATAATGCATAACGCTGTTTGAATTTAGACGACTTATTTGTAGGGATTTTTTCTCGATATTTTTAACATTTTCGGCCTTATTCTCAAAAACAATTATTTACACTTAACATAGGCATTTGATAGCTGATTATTAAAAGTTGTATATCAATATAAAGCGAATTGGTAAAAATTATAATAAAAAGGCCTCCTATGAATAATAAATGTTATATTAAATCTTATCGAACTTAAGTAAAATTAATAAAAAATCAAAAATATCAATTAAACAATAGAAAACAAAATTATACAAAAAATAGGTAAACTTAATTGTCAAGGTTTTAAAAACTATAAACTGTAAAATCAATGTAAGGATAAAAAGACCAGAAAATATTTTTATAAAATTAACAAATAAAAGATGTAAAAACACAGAACGAGTAGGTATTGAACTGAAAAGTATTAAGAGCTTGGTTGTTGTAAATGGCCTTGAAAGGCAAGCAATTTGCAGGGATTTAAAATGGTATCTGCTGTCAAGCGTAAATAATGGGGATGTAAATCATATCTTAAAAACAATTACAACCGACTACTGCAGTGGCGAGGCCTTAATGTCACGAACCCGCATGCTGAAATGTCAACATTTATTTTAAACTGATCCCTCAGTAATTCTGATGGACAAGTACCACATTTAGAAGGGGTTTTGTAGTGTCGGTTTTGTTTTTTTCTTTTTTCTCTTGTTGGTTTGCCATGCGATATTTTTTAAATGTAACGCGAAAAAATAAAATCCCCACTTATGCTGGTCTGCTGAGTATTTTTTGTTTGGGTCGACATTAAAGAATTTATGCATTTTGCCACCTAAATTTGTGGTAAAATAAAAGTTTTTATTTATTGTTTATTTTTAGTAATAAATAGTTAAAAATTTAATTTTGTCAAAAGTAAGTATTGACGAAGTTAATTAAAATAAAAACTGAACTGAAACCAAAGATAAATAATAATTTTTTGGTTTTAGTTTATACAGGGTGCACCAAGAGCTATATGGTTGGTTAAAGTTGGGTGATTAAAAGTATAAAAAAATAATTCTTAAATAATTTGAAAAACTCAAAACCAAAAATCATTATTCCTAAGAATTTTAAAATAAAGTTAGTTTAACATGTAAACATACATATTTATCCACATTTTTATACAATTTGTTTTTGTTTTCAACCTACTACGTTCTGAGTTACCACCACCATCTTTAGTTTTTTCTATGGTCGCCATATGCGATTTTACATGGTTAGATAAAAAACAAATCAAGGAATCCATCGATGTATTAAACTATTTATGTTATGGCGTCCATTATAAAAAGATATAAGATGTTGATGGTGATGGTAGAGAAGAAATTGGGCAAAAATGTAAATTAATGTGTACGTTTACATGTTAAACTTACTCTTGTCAAAATTCCAAGAAATAACAATGTTATAATGATTTTAATTTTAAAAGGTTTTTAATTTTTTTAAATATTTTAAGAACGCAACTTTTCTATAATTAAACCGACCTTGTAGATTTTTAAATAAAAAAAATACCCATTGAAAGGATAATTGGTTTACCCTGTATAGTAGATTATATTATTATTAAACAATCACGTGCGTAGTGCGTGATTGTTTTGTTTATTTACTCCTTTTGAATAGTCTGGAAAATTTAAAATGTTTGCTTTAATCCCGGCGCATTCACCATTTTTGAAAATACGCACAACAGTGTGATTCAAACTCGACGCCTTTGATTAGTTATGCAAAATTTAAGTTTAACACAACTAAAATTTTTTACCAAAAAAATTTAATAATTTTGAGGTTATGTCGTTCTAATTATAATTTCCCAGAAGAGTTTTTTACCGAATTTTTAAAGTTGTCATTTTTCTTAATACAATCCGCCATAATACAAAGTTATGTGGCTAAATATATTTCATAAATATATTTCATAAAATGAGCGATAAAATCATGATAAATTATTTCTGGTAGTCTTTAATTTATAAACAAAATAGGTAGTTAAAAAACTGATAAATTTAAATTTGATTCTTGAAACATACAGTATACCTCTTGAATATTACTTTTTTAAGATTTACTTTGAGTTTTTGCTAATCAATTGTAACAAATCACAAATAAATTAGCACCACTCTACTTTTAAGTAAGTTAACTGTCAACAACTTTAAAGTTAGGTTATTTAGATAACATAGTAGTTTAGTCTCAGTGCATTGGTCACGTGGTACGCGCAATTACACCGCACAAATTGAAAAAAAAACGGTAAAATAACGCAACGGTATTTTCAATTACGATTTCGACATGTGACATGTGACATGTTACAAGTGACATATGTCAATAGTTCACTAGTCTAATGAATTGCACATTTTATATAACAAATACATTAAAAGCTGTTAGTCATTATTTGGAGTTCACTTATCAAAAATCTCAAAAAATTGATTAAAAATCATTAATGTTTTTATAAAAATTGATTTTTCTAAAAAAGTGACAAGCGAATTGAGTTTATCCTGAAAAAAAAATTGTCTTGTAAGAGATTTTTTATCAAAATATGAAAAAAAAATCGGATACGTCTGAACCTTTCAATTAAAAGTTATTCAGGGACACCGTGAATTACTAATAAAAAATACGAATTAAAATATGGTTGCTTTATTAAAATGTTATAGTTATGCATTCTTTTTGTTATTAAAATATTTCATAAAATAAATATTATATTTTATTCTCCAATGGGCTATAGCACTATAGTGCTTTATCTAGTTGACATACTACAGCATTGTCGAGTTATTTTCAAAATTAGCAAATACTGCTTGTATAACTTTTAAATTTTTAAAATGTTTGACTTGTCAATGTTTTCTATAAGCCACTGACTGCTATTTTTTATCAGTAATACTTTTTACAAAAGACTTAATTATTCAACAAATTGTTTATAACAATCTGAAAAATTGAAAAACATTAATAACTCGAAAAATATTTACTTTAGGTTTATGATAATATCATATAATATATTATAATAATATCATACCATATTATGGTATAAAAATTTTACTCATAATTTTATACAGAATGGGGTGTTAAAATTTAAAATACAATGTATAAAACAAACTTAAAAAAAATATTTTCTTTTAAACCAACTAAGTATTAAAATAAGATATTTAAAGGATTCAACTACACCGAAAAAAATAATGTAGTTGAGTTAACATTTGCCTAAATGTCATTTTAAAAAATGTTGTTTCAACAAAAAACCTATTGGGTTAATCTATATTTTGGTGTTAAAGCAAAGGTCAGAGTTTGTCAAAGTTTATTTGTTCATTTGACAGTTTAAATAATAATTTAACATAAATTAATATTTTGAATTAAAATGTTTATCGTACTTTGATTGAATAGCTGGAATTTGTTGAATCAACTACTGAAATTTTTAGGATTACCTAAAAAAACTATTAAATTAACGTTTAGTTGCTCTTTAATCCAAAACTTTAAATTTGTTCATTTAACAAATTTAAAATGTTACTTTAAAATTTAAAATGTAAAATTTGCATTCATAAAATTGCCGAGAATGGCGCTTCGAACACTCACGCCACGTCATTAGACAATGACGTTTTCTTACATCTCGCCTTAGTTAGCTTACGATTAGGTGTATATAAGATGAGGTATCTGTTTGTTTAAGGTGTGTTCCACAGTAGAACTTTCACTACACCATATTGCCCGACACTGTTAAGACCCTCAATACAGGGCGAAACAGTCTGTCGGTATTTGAAGTAGGTGGAACACATGATACAAAGATGTATCATGGGTGGAACACGCTCAAAACAAAAACTCTGGGCGAGGTGAAGGTTCAATTCTTTCTATTTATATATAATAATATATTATTTCCATAATTTTGTTTTGGATACCAACCTTTAAAGAATTTTACATTTTTAGAATGTTAATTTAACATTTTATTGGTGTTAAGTGAATATGCTAAAAAGGTTACCTGGACATTTCAAGAAATTTACCTTAACACCCTAAGAATGTTAAATTAACCAAATTAGCAGATTAGAACAAATATTCTTATTTTGTTCATTTGACTGTTATTTGTTGTTCAATTAAACAATACAATTTGACATTTTTAGATGGTTAAGTAAACGTGCAAAAACCATTGCTTGTATTTAAAGTGCATAAAGAGTTGAATTAATAATTTTTTTGTTGTTTCAACAGCTTATTTTTTTCAGTGTACGCTGTCGAGTAAAAAAGCGGAAGTGAGTAGATAAATAAGAAAAAAAAAAGGACAACAACAACAAAACACATTAATATTTACTTTGGTCCTTCTAAGCTGACGTTTGCCCTTATACCAAGTGATGATAGCGGCGGGCCTCGATCCGGCAGATTCGCAGGTCACTTCGTATCTCTTGTCAGCCACCAGAGGGCTTACTGTCTTCTGGATCTTTGCAGTCAGCGGCTTAACTGCAACCAAAACAGTACGGGCGAATGTTACCAGCAAGATGGAGCTTTGATGTGGATTTATTTTTATTAAATTTATATAAGTATTACTTAGGAAACTACTTCCGGCCCAACAATAACCCCTTTTATGGATGCACCGCAGCAGCGCATCGCTATTGCGGGGCCGAAATGAAAAAGTTTGATATTAAGTTTTGGATTTTAAAGAAGCTTTAGCGGCGGTATTGTTAACCATGAAAGCTATAATATAATTAAGTTTCTGATTATATATAGGGGATGATACATCGATGTTGAATATTCGCCTAAAGGGCTTCAATGGATTTATTTAAGTAGAGCTTTGAAAAGTAATCCAAATTTTGTCGTTAAAAAAAGTTATTAGAATTTTTAATCTATTACTTTTTTACTGTGTATATCATCCAAATTTTACAAAATGGTAGTGTATTAATAATATATTATGTATCAAGTTTTATAAACTCCATTTTAGAAAGGAATTTAATTTAGGCATGAGCCAGCTTGGGAGCGAGTGCTTAAATTAATGAGTGTCTAGAAAGTTAATAAACGAGATAAACGACAAATTACTAAAAATGAATTAAATTACATATTTGTAAAGAGCGACATCTATAAAACAATAGAGTTACCAACTTGGGAATTTGTGTTTTCGTCAAATGTCAAATTTGTATGTGTTATAAATCGAAATGTACCCCTTAACAGTTTTTCACAGTGAAAGTGAAGACAGAGTCCGAGCCCGAAATTAAGTTATCTATTTATCTATTAGTTATCTATTTATCTATTAGTTATCTATTTATCTATTTTACTGCAGGCAAAATTAAAAGGTCACTATAATATTCATAAAAACTTTTCAAAAATTGGCTTTGAGAAACTACCCATTTAATATTTTTGTAGTTTTGTATTGAGATAATAAAACAATTTTCACATTTAGTATTATTTTACAAGAAAGGCACTTTATTTTAAGGATTGTATGACATTTGACAACTGTCAACTAACTTAACTTCAGCCCGTGACTAAAAACTTGCCTGTGACTAAAACGCCATAAAGCCACAACTTGTCAATGTGTATTTTAAAGCCCAGTTGGTTTCATGGGAACATGTACGATAATGGGCGTAAAATATTTTTCTTTTCAAGATGTTAAAGTTTCTGTGTTTATAGTTTTAAATAATAATAATAATTTGGTATTCACAAAAAATACTACATATATTTAAAGTGTTTTTGACTTTATGGCATTTTAGTCACGGCCGAAGTTACCTTTATTATAAATTGAAAAGTGAGGTTAAGTTTTTCTGACAGTTGCCAGATGTCAAAATTTGATGTTTTACAAATAAAATTCTGAAAAACATTGTGCTTGTCGTACATAAAGTATAGTATTATTATTAATTAATTAACTTCTCTAGACACTTGCTCCAAGCTTTGCTCGTGCCTAAATAAAACCCTTCAGAAAAATGCCGTTTCTTAAACTAAGAAGTAAGATATCAAAAAAATATTTTTTAAATTTAGTAGGGACTTACATGATTAAGAAAAAACACCCCGTAATATATTAACAAACAAAATAATATATTTTTGCTAGTGCTTTATAACAGTGACTTTAATTTTCAGTCTGGTTGCTAAATGACACTTTTAAGTAGTAGTGATTAAAAATATAAAATGTTTTTTTATTTTTGAAAAAAAATTTGAATTCAATACATTTGGGTTAAAAATTAAGGTTACGTTGACATTCAGTACTACCAACTGATAAATTAGGGTTTTACGTATTTTCGCAATATAAATTATAATTCGACAATTATTCCAAAAAATTTTGAAAAAAGATAAAAATTTGACGTTTTATAACTTATTCGTTCTTTTAGGTAGTGAATAGGTTTAAAGAGTTATATAAATAAATAACAGTAGGCAGTGACAGCAAATTCAGCGGTGCCAATGTAGTAAAAATAAAACGTTTTTTTTTAATCAACAAATTACTTCAAAATTGTTCAACTAGGTAGGAACATGGTCTTCTAAATACGATTATACTATTTAAATATTCTTAAATTTAAATAAATAACTAAATTCTTTATACATTTTATGATTGTATTACCTTGTACAATTTAAAATAGTACTTTTATGTGCCTTTTTAGTCAATAACTTTTACATTCAGTTTCTGAAAGCCTACATGATCCATTGTTGATTTTAAATGGTGAATAAAACATGTTGTGAATATTTTGCAATATTCGCGTATTCCATGACCTATTTCGTATCTTTTGCGCCACATATTTTTCTTTATTTAAATATTAAAATGCATATTTTTAAATACAATCCAAGTTCTTTTAACCCCATTCAACAAATATATTTTTAAACTCTAATAATATTTTACTCGTAATAAAGTAAAAAATACAAACAACCAATCTTATATGGAACCACCCAGTAATTACAAGAAACAGTACATTTTACTATTTACCAAAAAAAAGTAAATTGCAAATAAAAAGCTCCTTATCCCAACCAATTTAATTTCAAAAATCATAAAAAAAATATAAAACAAATTTTTTATCGAACAAATAACAAAAAATAAAGTTAACGGTAAATTAGAATTTAAAAAAATAATAGGTTTTTATTAACTATTGCCACCTCTAGCCTCAATGCAAGCATTAACTCGACGATACATGCTTTCAATTAAGTTATGAATTTCTTCTTGGGGAACTGCTTTTATTAGTTTTTCTGCATTGCCAGGTCTATTTGGTCAAGCTATAATCCTTCTTTTAACATTATTCCACAAGTTCTCAATTCAATTAGGATCCGATAACAAGAAGGCCACTTGTACAAACATTATCCAAACATTATACTTTAAACATCGAGGAAAGCACCTTTTTAGAGCCCTACTACGGGTTGTATAACTAAATCCACATACTTTGACCTCTTAGGGTTTGTCTAATGGGAATCAAAGAAATGTTTTCACCAATCATAAAGCCACCCCAAAACATTACACTTCCTCCTTTGCATTGAGGGAACGATCGTCCAGCTTATTCTAGCTTGTCTCCCACGATCTCTTAAAATACAAATTCACCGGTCGTCTGATCGTAGGCTAATTCTGGATTTATCTAATTTTTTCCAATCTTCATTTGCCAGTTTTAATGCTCCAAATACCAATTTAAATGGCCAACTCTATTTAGCACAAATATTTTCGGAACCCTTAACTGTATTCTGCGATTTTTTTTATTTATGCCGGATAATGCCCCTTCGCTAATAAACCGAGTTATCAAAAACTGATGAGAAATGAAAAGTGTGACTGTTTTAGAGTGGCCTTCTTGTTCACCTGATCTTAATCCAATTGAGAACTTAAGGGATATTTTTTTGTAATTTATTCTCTGAAAATTTGTTTTAATGGGGGAATCTCACGAAATGTCCCCCGTGATATTTAATAAAACTAAATGAGTTTGACCTACACTTTTATTGTGTTTTGATCTTTCATAATTAAGTAGATATTACAGCTTAGGTTCCACATTTTTAACCGCAATTAATTATTTTTTACAATGATTTAAAGTCTAAAACCTATCCTCCGTGACTGTTACTCTTTCTAGGTTAACCTATATGTTTTCAAAAAATATCAGTTCACTAAGTAAATTAAACAAATCTAAAGCAATCGAATAAAATATAAAATTTTATTAAAAATTAGAAGAAATAATTTATATAACCATTTATGTAGGTTAAAAAATTGATTCTATCCTTTGTGAATCTGTTTTTGCTTTAAATTTTATGCAACGGATGGTGCTTTAATAATTTTAAATAAGCAAAAACCTTTGTTTACGACATTATAGATGCATGTGATTCCTGAAGGTCAGTTAGAATTAATATGCAGATGAGAGTGTGGCTGTTTTATAATTCAAAAGTTTAAGTTCATTAATTTTCTATTTAAAAACCTATCCACCGTGAAGTGTAATATCTCAGTTAGTAGTTTTTTTTATAAATATTAAGGTGTCAAAAGAGACAATAACTTATTTCAAATATACAAAGGAATGTTAAAAAAACATACGAAATCCTAACCTCCGTGAAGCTATCTTCCGTGAAGCTCTAATATTTAAAATATATGATTTCTTAAAATTCTTGCATTAGTGCAGAACCACGTATGTTATGTTATTATTAGACATGGTGGCTTCCCAAAAACGCCATTCTAGACTAACAGTGAAACAACCAAAAATAAAAAAATAATCATTTTCACTTGGGGGACTTCTCAATATATTCCTCCTAATAAATCTTTTTTAATTTTTGTAATAAAATTTGTTCAGATAATGTGCTTTTTATCACCAAATCACTTTTTTTTAGTGGAATAATGTTTTTCGTAATCACTGGTTGATTCCATATAAGTTTGGATGTGTGTACAGTAAAATTGTTGTTTTTTTTGCTAATAATATGTAGTGTCATAAAAAAGTGGCGTAGTAACGTAATACCATGCAATATAACAGGGGGGTAATCTTGGGTTAAAAATAAAAAAGTAGATTTAAATTATGAAGTATTCAAGTTTAAAAATTTGTTTTGATTACAATTTACTATTTTAAACACCTATAAAACAACTTGTCAAACATTTCTTTTATATTGTTCCTATGGTATTCGGGGAAAAGCTGGTCTCTGGGTAAATTCATACCTATCAGATAGGGTTTAGGAGGTGCATATTAAGCATACAAAGAGGAGTCCCTCAGGGTAGTATACTTGGACCACTACTATTTATTTTTTACATTAATGATCTTGTAAGTAATATAAATCAGGCTTTTATTGAAATGTATGCTGATGACACATCGGGTGTGGTAAAGGGTGATAGCATACAATCTCTGAGTAGCTCGGCAAATAAATGTGTGAATAAAATGAACTCTTGGTGCAATAAAAATGGCCTTATTCTGAATCCTAAAAAAACTCAAACTAATAATGTTTCATTCCAAGCAAACTTCCATAAACTCTGGGTAAAATGTAATGGTGGTGCACTACGCCAAAGTTTGAGTGTTAAGTTTTTGGGGTTAACTTTTGATGAA